AGAGAGAGAGAGAGAGAGAGAGAGAGAGAGAGAGAGAGAGAGAGAGAACCTTTAGGCATCTCTGTTCTGAACAGTTCCCACCATACCCCCAAGTCATACCAGGACACTCATGAATTCACCCCGCTGCTTGCCCATTGAAGACACTGGTGTTTGCATCTCCTGGTATAAATAGGTAAATGTGATTCTCAGGTTTTATCTTCTAACAGTATTTTCATAACAGTTGCCAACATGACAATATTTCTGACCAGATCAAATAAGTTCTTTTCACAATAGCAGGTGTACCTCTAGCTTTCAGTGCTTTCTCTTTGCTAATACGGTGTTTGCCTTTGTTCCCAGAACAACGTACTAGACTGATAGTTTTAATGCTTTTTCAAGAATAATCCCTAAATCCTTTTCTTGATCTGTGTGCTAGAGGATTATTCTCTGCCTAGACACATCACTGGACTGGCCTCCTTGCTCCCCAATTAATTATTAGTTTGTCTACATTAAATTACACTTGCCATCTGCTGATAAAATCACAAAAGTCTCAAATCCCTTTCCGTTGCTTTCACTGTTTGCTGGTGGTTTGTTCTGCCTCCTGTCAGCTAAATCAGCTACAAACTAGGTGGTCTGGTTTCCAATTCCTTCTCCAAGTCTCCTCTCTGTTGTGGAACTTCTTTGTGAAGAATTCCTACAGAAATTTATTAGTTAATTTTGAACCATCCCAGGATGGGTCCTAAAATAATGAGTCCCAAGAGACACAAGAGAAGAAAAAGGCAAATAGTAGAAATGAAAATGTATCCTTAAAAGTATAATACAGCACAATGAACATGAAACAAAGTAGCATAGGAACAAGTTTGAATCCTCAAGTTCAAGTTTAGGTGTGGAAGACATAAAGCACTGTCTTATTTCCCATTAAACAATTGAATTTCGAATCCAAGCCCTAATGCTGCAAGACTGGTGAGCCTTCAGCCCCTTCAGTGGTAAAGCTCTGGGGTTTCAAGCAGGGCCAATGTACGTGCATCAGTTTGTGAGAACTACCAGAGCAACAGCACAGGCGGGTGGTTCAAATCACAGAGATTTATTTTCCAACACTTCTAGGGCAGGAAGTCCAAGATCCAGGTGGCAGCAGGGTTGATTTCTCATGAGGTCTCTCTTCTTGGTTATAGAGAGCTGTCTTCTCCCTGTTTCTTCTCATGCTCTTCTTCTATAGGTATCTATTATGTAATCTCCTTTTTGGGGGGAGGGGTTGGTACTGCTGCTAGACTTTACCAGGGGCACTCTACCACTGACATACATCTCCAGCCCCTTTTATTTAAATATTATTTTTTAGTTTTAAGTGGACACAATATGTTTATTTTATTTTTTATGGTGTTGAGATCAAACCCAGCGCGCTGCGCATGCCAGGCAAGTTGGCTACCACTTGAGCCACATCCCCAGCCCTCTCCAGCCCTTTTTATTTTTTATTTTGAGGTAGGGTTCCAATAAGTTGCTTAGGTCCTCCCTAAGTTGCCGAGGTTGGCCTTGAACTTGTGATACTCCAACTTCAGCCTCCCAAGTCACTGGGATTAAAAGTGCATGCCACTGTACCTGTTCTAATCTCTTCTTACAAGGACATTAGTGGTATTGGATTGGGGTCCACCCTGCTGAACTTACTTAACCCTAATCCCTCTTTAAAGGCTCTGTCTCCAAATATAATCCGCTCCTGAGGCACTGGGGTCTTGGACTTCAATAACTGAATTTGGTGGGACACGAGACAGCCCACAGCAGCCTGGCTGAGGATGACTCCTCTAACCATCAGGCTGTTGTCAACAGAGATGAAAGTCTCATCTCTGGCATTGGGTTGCCCAGCTCCTTCAGGCCCTCTGCTCTCTGCTGCTCTCTAGAAGTGTCAGGGTATCGGGCTGCATCCACAAGGCTGGGACCCTCTAGCTCATGGTCCCACGTCCCAGGTACCTAAAGCTGCAAGATTGGATTCACCAATCACACCACCACCCTGTACCGCAGGGTAGCGACAGAGGCCTCTGCTCTTCTGACAGCCCCAATCTTTGCATTTGTCATCCAAGTGGGACATTTGTCTTCAGGGTTTTGAGAAGACCCTCACTACCTCAGTCCTAATGAATCAGCCCCTTCAAAAGAAAGGCCCAGAGGCCAAACAGACTCTTCCTGATTCCAGACTGCAACAAACCTCCCTGGGGTGAAGAAGCACCCATTTGAATTAAATTAAAAGAAACAAAAAAATGCAGAAAAACTTAAAAGAGTTCAGACTACTCTTCAGCTACAGGTGATTAAAACTTATACCATGAATTCTTGCTCCTTTTCTAATTCCAATGTTCTAAGAGTCCCATTTAGTATCTGGTAATGGTATGGTTGTGTTTTTTTCCAACCAAGAATGATAGGTCTTATAAACATGTAATTTATTATTAATAAATGTCATAACAGCAAGTATTCATAGCATAGCTACATTAATCTTTACACCAAAGACATACAAAGTAAAAAAAAAATCTTTATCTTGGGATATAAAATAAAAGTGAAACAAAACCAACACAAAATCTTTATTGCATTGAATGTCCTTGGTTTAAAAAAATTGTTTTTCTGGTTTAAGAAAAGAGATGCTTGTTTTTGGTTAAATACTTGAAACACATAACATGAAAATTATCAATATCCTTACTACCAGATATGGCCCATTAAGTTTTAGATCCCATTTATGCATTTATATAGTCTTTATAACCATTTGCTGCTCATTTGTTTATTCATCAATTATGTATTATATGTTGATTATATGTAAGGAAATTCTCCTAGATTCTGCAGAATGTCTTCAATGGAGTTGGCTAATGCCCCAGCCTAAGTTGTTCCATTGAGTCCCAGTTAACGATGCTTATTAGTTTTTTGTTGTTGTTGTTGTTTTTTGCCACTGTGACAGAATGCCTGAGAATAACAACTTAAGAAGAAAGATTTATTTTGACTCCTGGTTTCAGAGATTTCAGTCCATGGTCAGCTAGTTCCACTGCTCTAGGCCTGAGATGAAGTAGAACATCATGGTGGAAAAGTGTGATGGAGGAACTCTGCTCAGCTCAAAGCAGCCTGGAAGCAGAGAGAGAGTGCACAGGGGGGAAGGGGCCAGGGGTAAGATAGACCCTTTGAGGACATGCTTCATGACCTACTTCCTCCAGTGAGGCCCCACCTCCGACAGTTTCTACCACCTCCCAATATGCCGTCAGATTCTAAATCCATCAGTGGATCAGCCCATTGATGAGGTCAGAACCCTTATGACCCAATCACTTTAAAATCCCCACCCCCGAACACTAGGAACCGAGCCTTTCACGCAGGAATCCTTGGAGGACACTTCAGATCCAAACTGTAATATGCCGATCCCACAAATCCTAGTTTCTGAGCCACCAGGGCAGACATGGATGCAGACCTAAAACTACCTTCTTTCCCCACAGGGAGGCCATGGAATGGGGCTCAGAAGCATTGTCATGTTCTGTATCTGGCCATAAAAAACAGCGGAACAAACAACCAACCCTGTTCTGTGGGCAGTAAGAACAAGGATTCTGGAGCCAGGCTGCCTGCATTTGAATCCTGATTCTACTCCCACACTACCTGCGTGACCTTGGACAAGCTATTGAACCTCTCTGTGCTATAGTTTCTTCAAGCATGAAATGAGGTCGATGACAACTCTCAAAATGTAGGTTATGAGAATTAAATGCATATCCAGAGTCTTTGCACAATGCAAAGACAGTGCACATGAGAAGTATTAGCTATTTGTCTCACCTTGATTTTGAAACTCTGTGCAATGTAAATCTTCTGAAACTCTCTCCTTGTCTCTGTTCTGATCCTTGCCCAACCATCAGTGGCATGGGCCAATTAGTTGAAGAGCAGGAGCCATGGATTATCATTAAGACAGACCCAGGGCATAGGTGATTGCGAGTTGTAGTGTGCAAACTTTTAGATACTTACCTGTGGTGTTGCTAGATTCTGTTATGGGTAGATCAAGTGACTTCGAAACAGCTACCTCCAGAGAGGATTCTCCTAAGGAGAGAGGGGAAGTTTCTCTCCTTTTTCCCTCTCCTACTTCCACAATCAAAATACTTTCTCTTAGGAAAAAAGGAAAGCAGATCCTAGAAGGGAGGGTGTGGCAACTGGTACCTGGTACTTCCAAGATTCCCTCTCCATCATTAATTTCTACTGCTTTTGCCAGGTGTGGGAAATATCCCCACTCTTGGTGTCAGCCTTCACATCTTACTGTTTGTGCTGCCAGAGAAATGCTAATTGATCTATTTTGCTATGAGGTCAAAAATTCTAGAGGAAAAAACTCATTAGTCTGGCTTCTAGGTGTCCCCTTTTGGGCCAGTCAATGATGGTTGAGAGAAGGGTGAGTGAAGTCAGAATATTTTGGGGTAAGTCCCTGGAAGTTTGGGTTCCCAAGACAAGGGGGATGATGGCCAGAAAATCCCATAATAGTCTAGAGTGAACAAATTTATCATTTATCCCCATAGGATGATAAGAGCATCTTTCATTAACTGTAATAAAAAATATAATAAAATACACTTTTAACTCACTAAATATACTTAAAATTGCAGCTAAACTGACTTGAGAAATGTTTATTTCAAATTCCCAAGACTTAGATGGTATTTTCCAAAGGAGAGAGGAGTTAAAATGGTTGCACTCTTTCTAGAGAATGGAGATATGAGCCAGCTCCCAGAGCAAGTACATTTCAAAGTATCTGATTTGGTTTGAAGAGACTTTGAATGTGATTTGTGCCCCAGCTAAGATTTTTGTTTGTCTATTTATTTGCTTACATCCTGCAGAGAAAGGAGCAATCTCCTTGTAAAGAACTCACTCTGTGCTAGGCATTGGGCTAAGAATCCAGCACTCACTATTTTTCAGTTTTGACCAATCTCCTGACCATAAGAAACTATTCTTATTCTGCCCATGAAGAAGCTGGGATGCAGAGAAGTTCATTTGCCCAAGTCACACAGCCAAAGAGTGGTGAAAATGGGATTTTAATTCAGGCTCACCCTAATATAAGGTGTTGCTATACCCCCCAGTCGAGGTAGAACAATAAAGAGAATTGGTCACTGTTGGCGTAGGAAATAGCATGGAATCCTTAGTGCCACTGTGATTAACATTTCAACTTCGAAAACATAAAATAGTACGTTAAGAAATTGCACTTTAGTAACTTTGATTAAGGAAGTTATGGAAATTGCTCCTATTTGTTGGAAGAGGAATATTTAGTTCATAGATGTAGAAATAAATAACATGAGTTATTTATTTAAAAATAAAAAGGGAACACATACCTACTCACTGTCCATTCAATAGCTCAGAAGTTTTGTTATTTTTTTCTTCTATGCACTTTGAGAGTGAGTCTGCGGGTTATGATGAGCACATTTTAAGGTGTAAAAATATCAATTTGGCCTTCATCAGAAGGAATCCTTAGAGTCGAAGATTTTAGTGCTTTCCTATTTGGTATTTTTGAGGTACTTCAAAGTTTAGGATAGTTATGAAAACATAGAATCATCATCACTTTTATCAGTACTCACACTTAAAAATCATAACTAGAAGTCCAAATCATGTGGAATTGAATAAATCCCAGTCAATGAATACTTTTTAAACATCTGTAATTATAAGAGAATTTTAAAAGAAAATGTTTTACTGAAACATTTTTAAAACATTGATGAGAATATTTTAGTAAATATTTAGCAGGACGCAGCCCGGGCTGCAATCCTGGATTCCCTGCATTAAATAATCGCTTCACCAGGTTTTATCACCTTTTTTCAGTCCATGCTTTCAAAGCTCAAAACAATAGCACATAATGGAAATGTCAATTTTTTTTTTGTCATAACAGTGTAAATTATCATGACCATGGCCTCCTTGGTGACCCAGGTGTTATTGAAACATGTCCTGTAGGGATTTGAATTTGAGCATTGCTCCAAGGACAGAAGGATCTTTTTGGATCCACTCCTGTTGATCCTTTAACCCTTACAGGACGGCCCCAGTCTCATTATAATAAAAATAGAAAAAATAACCTGGTTCCCTACTCTTCTTACCAGGCAAGTAGGTGTGGCTCAGAAACTGTCTTAATCATCTCTGCGCCCCAGGCCTGGTCTACAGTGGGTACTCAGTGAAGCCCCAAGGGGCACATTGAGGAAGGAAATCCACCCATGGAGTCTAAAAATAAAGCCAAGCATCTGTAAACCTCAGGTCCTCAGGGTTCCTACCGCCATTACTGTTACCACCAACTGGAAGGGGCATTTAGGTTGGTGTTCACAGGTACCTGTGAATATCTTGAATTCACAGAGAAGAAGAAACCACACGGACATAAAGGTTTTAGAAAGAGCTAAAGGTGAACTTTGATTCATCCACTTTTTTGTTTCAAAGCAGAAATAACATCCATTATCTAGTGAACACCCTAAACAATGAAAATAAACTTCAATTTAATATTCAGGCCACTTAAGGAAGTCAAGAACTAGACAAAGGAAAGGAAGGAAAGAGCCTACTTCACCTCAGCCCAAGGGGAAAAGTTCTACCTGGTACTAAACCTGCTGTTCCAATGCCTGCCTTGGCACTTAAAGTAGTTACATAGCTTGAAACTTTTACAAAGAGACCAGGTGGGATGGGTTTTGTTTTCGATTGGGATAGATACTCTTCTTAAATTATTTTTTTTCAAAATAGGGTCTTGCTATATTGCCCAAGTCTTGCACAGGGGCTCGAGCGATCCTCCCACCTCAGCATCTGGGTGCACTGGGATTATAGGCGGGTGCCACCCAGCGGGCTGGCTTAGATATTCTTGAAATCACTTCTTTTCCTAATCTTCAACAGGGGGAGGTAGCATGATCCCATACCTTGGTGGGGCCGGACAAATTTCCATTTTATTTAAAACAAACAACTCCTGGGGAAGTATCATCCCTTTTCCTATCAATCGTATCACGGATACCTATGGCGACAGTTGATTAACAACCGGGACATGTTGGTAGTGTAGCCTGCTGCACACCTGGGCTGTGTGGTGTACCTGGCTACAGACCTGTAGGGGGCGCTTGCTCTTTTGAGTGAGGTAGGCAGTTGGTAACAGAATGGTAAGTGCTCTGCTAAACATAGCCAAACAGCAAAGGTGCAGGGAAAGTGAGAGGAACTTTTCAGTTTCACGTTGCTCTTGAGGGACCACCATCCGTTGCTGACTGAAGTGTTACTCAGCGGTGCGTGCCTGTGTGATGGGCACAAGGGGCTGCAGCCCAGAGATGTTCAGCCAAAGGTTACAGATCTTTGGGCTTCTTTTCATGCCTCCTCCCTCCCTCTCCACAGCTATGCCCTGGCTCTTCTGAGTCAATGCTTTCAGGCTGATCTGCACTCCCTCCTTCTGTTACCATCACTGTGGCCATCACTGTTGCTGCTCTTTGTGGTGTCTCCCCGCTGTGGCTAAAGGCTGTCCCCACCCTGGGCTCTTCCTTCCCCAAACCTGCAACGTCTCTGCCCTTTGTTCAGTTCTATTACTCTTTTTGCCTAGAAAATGTCTACTTCTTCTTCAGAGGCCAGGGTACCTGTCACCTTCCATCTCTGACAGCTGTTCTCAGCCCCAGTTATATTAGAGTTGCTTGAGGAGCTTCTTATAAGTATCACTCCCCAGCCGCCACCCCACCTGGGTGCTGGATTTAATTGGGTGTTGGGACCTCGCGGCCAGGATCGAGAATGACTCATCTGTACATCTTTAAGAGTCTACTCTTGTCTGTGCAGGATGAAGCAGTCCTTTCCCCTGAGCTTCTAGAGCTTTCTCTTCATTCCTCCACCTTATCCCACAGCACCGCGCATTCCAGCCGGGTTCAGACCCAAGCTCTCCTGGCTCAGGGTCTTAGTGTTCATCCTCCATGGATTCCCGTGTCAGAACCCACCCTTTAACCTACCACAGCAGCTCTAAAGGCAAGTGTGCTGCCCTGTCTTCCCGGAGACCCTCCTGTCACCAAGTCCCATCGCTTCTTCCTCTGCAGGGTTCCCCAATTGCGACACATTTCCCCCTCTGCAAGGCTTGAGGTGCACCCACATCAGCTTTCAAGTGGTTTGCCCCTGCCACACCCCTTCTCAGAAACTTCCAATTGCTTCCTGAGTCAAATTAAAACTGATCACAGGCTTTGAAGTTTTCCACTGGTTTAAAAGGCCTCTCTTCCTCCCAGGGTCCATAGTGTCTTTGGCTCAGCCAAACACTAAATCTCTGCCTATCTCTAGAACCCCTGTGTTCCATGCTTCCACAGTAAAAAAAGAAAAACAACAAAAACAAAACAGAATACCCACCTCCCTCAACTCTCAAATCATACTCTGCTGTCCTCAAGCAAAACACTGAACCTGTCTTTAGAAACCACTGCTCAGCCCTCCTAAAGCACAGTCTCCACACACCCAAGTCATTTTTTTAAAATCATTGAGTTATATATGTCTTGGCTATTGTTCTTGGCATGTTTTGTTCTTTGTTCTAGCATGTTTCTAGTTTTTGTCTGGTGCAGTAAAAAGTGGATTCGAAAGTGGAAGCTGGGTCCCTTCACTGCAGCGAGCCTCATGTTCCCCATGAAGTGGAGTCAGGCAGGGTGTTCACGTGCCCACCTGCGTTCGGCAGCCGGGTCACAGGAGAAGAAGCTCATGGAAGGGACTTTGTGGGTCTGAAACTGCTTTGCAAATTTGAGCTCTTCTTATTCTTACGAGATTCTTTTCTACCCTCCAGCTTCATTCCAGCAGTTCTCTGCCGAGCTCCACACCATGAAGAGGCTTGCCTGGGAACATTTTGAGCTGTTTTGCAAGGAAGATGATGCAACACTTTTATGCTCTTCCTCAGTAT